CAATCCACGCAGTACAAAAAAATTGCGAGGTGAAATGCTTCATTTCCTGGACTATAAGTGGTTTGACAGCACAATAAAATCGTAGATTTATGTGAAGCTTTCAATTTTTATGATTTCAGAATCCAGCAGCCCGCTGAAGTATTGGATTTTTATAATATAATTATTTGACAACCTTTTGTTGGTCAACCACCTACAGCAGAATTGAGCCGAAATACATAATATTTCGTATGTTCCGAATTTATTTCGTTTAATCTGTATAAGATGAAAAACCAATGATTGTCCCACGTGTAATCATAAAATCCGATATTAAGGCTTAACTGAAAAATCGGATAATTTGCAAACTAACTAAATTTCAAAAACATTATCAGGAAATGCAAAATTTGCTGTTTACGTCATATTTCACGAGCACGATTTACATCTTATATATTTCCATTCAGAATATCCGAGCATTGTAATAGAATATTGAGCAACCTCAATGTGAAAATGAAAATATAAATGAGGTTCTGTAGGGGCCTCACGTCGATGGCAGTTGTCATAAAAAGATAATGTAATGGATTCAATGATCGAAGAGTATTGAAAGCAAATTGAATAGGGCTCGAGCCACCTCACGTCTCTCGCTATAGGAGATTGCTGTGTGAAAACAAATAAGGGAAATAAGCATATACATATGAGATAAGCAATGGCGCAGAAAGTTATGAAATACATTAACGATTTTCTAATCTCTTATTCGCGTATGTTCCATAAATACAAAATGATTTTAAACTTTTTTTTACCAAATAAGATGAGGAAAAAGTGATTTTGTAAATTGTAAAAGATGTTTAATTTTTATCTGAGCGTTTCATATACAAATACAAATCATACAAACAAGCTGAATTTTGCTGAGAATGTTAATTTTGGGACCTTAAAAAGATGCAAAAAACTACCGTAAATGTGTTTTTTGGTTTATCGTCGAATTGTTTTTTTGCCAGAGAAAAGAGTTTAAGGCACGGGTCGCTGCTCTGCCCTTGTTTATTCTTTCTCTGATTTCATCTGCGCTATTTCCCTTCTTGTTGAAAATGACCCCCAAATATTTGCAGGATTGTACGTCTTTGATTTTGTCGTGTTCTAAGACCAGGTCACATATTTCACCTGTTTCCACTGAGAGATATTCACATTTTGTCATATTCATGTTTAGACCCGCCACCTTATATTCGTCTTGCAGTTTTCTTACCATATAGCTAAGATTGTAGCTGTCTTCGGCAATTACTACTTGGTCATCCGCAAAGAAAAGTGTATATAGCGTGTTTTCTTCAACCGTTATTCCCATGGTTCCACATTTTTATACTCATCTTACTAAGGATCTGTCCAAATAGATTTTAAATAAGGTGGGTGACAGAGAGCAGCCTTGTCTTAGTCCTTTTGTTGTTTGAAAAGGAGAGGTAATTGCTTGCCCATTTTAATTCTTGTAAAGTTTTGTTTGTAGTATTTTTAAGTGGCGTTAATAAGAATTGGGTTTATTTTCAAGTTAGCCATTTCTATCCATAGTTGGGAGATTGGTACACTGTCCTATGCTTTTTCCAAATCTATTAAAGCTATATGGGCTTCTCTATTTCTCTGCACTCGTTTTTCCATTGCAATTTTTATGTGAAAATATTATCCATGCCCGGCCCCAAATCCCGCTTGTTCTTCGGGTTGTTTGTCTTTAATATCATTTTTTTATCGGATTTCGTAGTACTTGTCACTACAGTCGGCCTATAGTAGCAATCACTGCGGTCCTTCTATAGTTTTTAGGATCTGTCTTTGTGTCTTTCTTGTGTATTGGAGAGATATATGATTGTCTCTATTCTTGTGTAACTTCTTTTCTGTTTAAGCATCTTTCGAATAAATTTCGGATCATTTCAAACAGTTTTGATGATCCATACCTAATCAACTCTGGATGTATTCCGCCTGGGCCTGGAGATTTTCTTAATTCATTCTCTTAACTGCTTCTTTCACTAGTTCTATTAATATTTCTATTCTTTCTTCTACTTCCACTTGTTCATTTGTCTATTTAAACCTTTCTCTTCTCTCTGTCAATAAGTTCTCAAAATGCTCTACCTACGTGTTCTCTGGTATTCTATTAATTATGAACTGGTTTTTGTCTTTGTTCTCATTGTTTTTATAGTTCTTCAGGCTTCAGAGCTCTTTGTCCCTCCTATATGAATGTCTAGGTATTGGCATTTTTGTTCCCATGCATTATTTTTCTTTTTAACCACTTCTCGTTTGACTTCTTTATTTAAGTTTTTATATTGTTGTTTTATTTGTTCGTCTTCATGTTGTAATAACTTTTGATATACTTCCTTCTTTGTTTTTATCTTTTCTTCCACTTCTTTATCCTACCAATATAGTTTATCTACTTTCCATACCTGTGGCCCTAAGGCTTCAAGTGCTGCGCCTATCATGCAGTTTTTTATATATTTGTATTCATCCGTCGTTGATCTGTGTCATTTCTGTAGTTTTTTTGTTAGTCTCCAGAAGTAAAGTAACTGTGTGCTTTCGTTATCTAGATTGTCTAAGGTGTACGTAATTCTTTCTATTTTTTCTCTGTGGTATTTGTTGATGTCTGTGTGATTCCTGTGTACGAATAGTGTATATATTTTTCCTATTATCAGGCAGTGGTCCAAGCCACACTCTGCTCCTCTATTCACCTGTACGTCCTGTATTAGCACTTTTTACGTAGAATAAATCGCTCTCTCAAAAACAACGCATAAAGCGACAGGTGATTTTCAATATAGATACACGCGCGAAATCAATTTTAACTAAAATGTGTATCAACTCGATGGGAAAAATTCGATACCTTTTGATTGTCCTATTGACAGCAATTAAAATGCGTTTTAAAGGTGCAAAGTACAGCTTTTTTATAAACTTTTTGCATATTGTCGCAACTAAAGTGAGTGTCTAAGATATTAAATAAATAAACGTTTAGCGATTTTTATTACTTTTTACGATTCTCATGAGATTAATAAAATTCGGTCATCATGAAATTTATTATTATAGCCCTTTAAATTACAAATTTCTTTGGTTTATTAAAATTTGTTGACAGATATATATTTTGACTAAGACATGGAGTATATGTAAAGAACTACGTCAGGGCTGTACACTTTCACCAATAGTTTTTAATATATATGTGTAAAAGATATTCCAAATGATTCCCGAAAGAGAAAATAGAGTCAATAAAATAACCGGAATTCCAATGACAATTTAAGCAACAAATTTAGAGATATGTTACATAGGAATTAAAGCAGTGTCAATTCTTCTTCTTAACGTGCCCCATCCCTAAGAACATTGGCGATCACCATAGCCGATTTGACTCTATTTGCAGCCGTTCTGAAAAGTTCTATTGACGTTTTCCCACTCCATTGTCTCAGATCTTCTCTCCGGTCCTTGTTTGCCTATCCGCATCAATTCGTATTTCTAGTTTCTTCGTATGTGACCAAAGTATATCATTTTTCTTTTCTTTATAGTGTTGAGTATTTCTTTATCTTTTTTCATTCTTTGTAGCGTTTCTGCATTTGTTATATGTTGTATCCAAGATATTTTCCACATTCTTCAATTACACCACATTTCAAAGTTAATGAGTCTTTTCTCTGTCGCCTCGACTGTAATTGTAATTGTCCAGGCCTCAATTCCAAACAACAGGACAGAGTACACGTAGCATTTCAATACTCTAATTCTAATTTCAATGTTGAGTTTGTCGTTCATTTGCCTCCAGTTACGTCTTCTAATACATCTTTAAACAATTCTTCTAAATACATATTAAAAAGTAAAGGGGAAAGTACATATCCTTGTCGTACTCCACGATTTATATGTATTTCTTTCGATTTTTGTGGGTCTATTCGTATTACGGCTTTCTGATATCAGAATAGATTGGCAATTATTCTCACGTCTTCGTCATATAGTTCTGTGTTCTGTAGTATTTTTACCATTGTTGGGTGTTGTACTTTGTCGAAAGCTTTTTCGAATTCGACTAGACATATGAATACGTCGCAATTGACATTTCGACATCGTTTGATTAGTGTTTGTACAGTAAATAATGCTTCTCTGGTGCTAAAGCCTTTTCTGAATCCAAATTGGTTTTCAGCTATTCTATCATCTAGCTTCTTATAGATACGTATAAGAACACTTTTAGAATATAGTTCATCGAGCTAATTGTCCTGTGCTCTTCACACTTCATTGCGTTTGATTCTTTTGATATTGGAATGAATATTGATATTAACCATTCTTTTGGAATCTCGCTCGTATAATAAATGTCATTAAATAATTCTATTAGTGTGCACATATGATTTTTTGTTAATATTCTTAAGATTTCTGTATGTATTTGATCTGGTCCCATGGACATGCTCATTTTTTATACATTTTAGCGCTTTCTCAATTTCGTCTTTGGTGATTGGTGGCCGATTTCTGCCTCTTGGTTCACTGACCTCCATTTTCTCTTCGTCTTCGAATAGCTCTTTTATGCATTCTTCCCATCTGTTTATTTTATCTGCACATTTCGTTATTATCTTGTTATTTTTATCCATGATATTTCCGATACCCATCTTCTTGTAAATGCCAGCTGTGTCTTTTATTTTCCAGTGTATGTTAACACTTTCATGTTGTTTATCTAACCTTTCTATTTCTTCACACTTTTCTAATAGCCACAGTTCCTTAGCTTCTTAGATTTTCTGTTTGAGTGTCAATTAAAGAGTGACATTAGATATTTTGGTGGATGCGCTATTATGATTCTACTATTTGGTGGATTTGTCTTTAGTTTAACTAGAAATTATTTGAGACAAGCGCAGCATAAACAGGAGAAATATGATTGTTGGCCATCATAAATAAATTAAATGAAAAAAGAGGGAACAAATTATTTACCTGTAGTTCTATTTAACAGTTTTAAGTAAAATCTTTAAGAGTTAAAATAATTGTCTTTTAGTACTACTTTTAGATGGCACTTGAAAGAGAAGATAATTGTCGTGTTAAAAGTAACTTAAAATAATTACCTTGTTAGATACTCTACGAGAGTGTCAATTCTATGCAGCATATTATCTGAATGACCATTTTGTTTTAATTCTCCGTTAACCCAAGTTTTTAGTTTTACATCATAGGGATCTCCCAACTCTTCTTTCGTTACAATCCAAGGGCCTAGCGGGCAAAATCCATCAAAATTTTTACACATAACCAATTGGCCACTGTTTCTCATTACCCAGTCTTTAGCGGTCAGATCTTGAGTGACTGTGTAACCGAAAATATAATCCATAGCATCCTTCGCTTTAACATATTGGGCTTTTTTTCCTATAATCGCAACAAGCTCTACTTCCCAGTCAAGCGCCTAAAAGAATCACAACAAAAATTAGTCGAATGAAATTGTGCTAGTTATATATATATATATATATATATATATATATATATATATATATATATATATATTAAAAGGCCAAATATATGGCCTAGGAGACAAATTCGTTAAACTTCCCGTGCTCGAATCGGTATCACTAAAGTGTTATGATCATTTCGGCCTATCCCAGCCATCGTCAGACACTTGGGCTGATACAAATTCAAACTCGGAAAGTAAAACGAATGTCTCCCAGAACTTCACTACAGCGTAGTTAGCTTACAAAGGCGCCACCACCTGCTTTGGCGACCGTGAACGAAACGATATGATAATATCGTTTTCTGTATCCTTTGTGCTATGCGAAATGTGAAAGATTAAATCTTTCAGCGAAAGTCGCTATTGCTTTATTATATTAGTTGCCTTTATTATATTCACATGCTCATGTGAATCTTTGTTCTTGAGTTTTTTTGAGAATGTAGTCACCCTGATTCTTTCCCTAATTAAGTCATTTTTGATCTCGTCTCTTCTAATCTTACCCAACATCCACCATAACATTTCATTTCAGCTACCTTTATCTTCTTTTCCTGAATTTTGTTTACAGGCTACACCCACCGCTGTAAAAAACGCAGGTTTTATCACACTCTTGTATATTTTTCCTTTTAGCCCTTCCCCGATTTGTCGATAACAAATTCGCTTATTCGCTTCCAGTTGTAACCAGCCAGTACCAACCAGCTTGTATCTTGTGGGCAATATCTTAACCTAGTCTTCTATTTTCCATTATATAGGAGCCAAAGTATTCAAATTCTCCTACTTGTCCCAGTTTTTTTTTCAAGCAATTCTATGTCTTTAATCATTCTTCTTCCTCCCAACCAGATATACTCTGTTTTTGACCTGATAACTGTATGTCTTCCCTCTTCAATAGCCTTTCTCCAACACTATATCACAATTAGATCCAGAATAGATCAGGCTAGAGCTGCTTTTAGTAGGATGTCCAAGGTGTTATGTAACAGAGACCTAAAATTGGCATTAAGGATCCGCCTACTTCGCTGCTACGTGTTCTCGGTCTTACTTTATGCTATCGAGTCCTGGACTGTGAATAAAATCGATCTAAATCGCCTTGAGGCTTTCGAAATGTGGTGCTATAGAAGAATTTTAAAAGTTTCCTGGGTGGAGAAGATTCGTAACTCCACAATACTTGAACGTCTCAGCAAGACTACTGAGATCATAAAAAGCATCAAGCACAGAAAGCTGCAATATTTCGGACATGTAATGGGAGGTCATAAATATAGATTGCTACAAAATATCATGCAAGGAAAAATAGCAGGCAAACGCAGTCCAGGACGAAGAAGAACCTCATGGTTGAAGAACTTGCGTGATTGGTATGGTGTAGATACAAGCATGCTATTTAGGGTGGCAGTGAATAAAATTAAAATAGCTATGATGGTAACCAACGTTCTGAAAGGACATGGTACATGAAGAAGAAGAAGAACACTATATCTCCTCCTCCAATATTTTTGCTCTTCTCTAGTAACACTTACTTTATCCATCAGTTCATTTATAAAAAGATTAAACAATGAGGGACTCAGCTAAAAGACTTAATGCAAACCAACCGTCAGTGGAAAACTTTTGGTCAATCCAACAGCAATCCTTACTTTGGTGTACGCTCCCTCATGCATATCCTTTACGAGCCTTAAAACCCATTTTTCTCTCATACATCTTAATAGCTCTAGTCTAGGAACTGTGTCGTGCGCCTTCTTGCCGTATTTCCCAATAAAATACCTCCAAGCAAACAAGGTATTAGTTGTCTTCCTTCATGGCATAAACCCAAAGTGTTCTTGTCCTATCGATGTCTCTCTTCCTAACCTTCGTTCCATAGTTCTCTCTTAAATTTTCCTACTCATCATTGGCCGTAAAATATTAACCTCTTGCTCTCCTAGAGCCTACCAAACCTACACAGGTATTCCATCAGATCCTACTGCCTTACCATTCTTCATTCCATTTAACATCTCGACAACTTCATATTTTACTATCTCCGGTACAACATTCTCATTTTGATCCCACACGCTATGTCTCTCCTTTGCTGTTCTTTATTTAACAACTTTCTAAAGTATTCATACCATCTTTGGTTTATTTCAACATCGGTTCTTAGCACTCTTTTAAGCTTACACTTAATCTGTCTCACGTGGGTCAAGTCCTTTGATGACTTGTCCTTTGCTTTAGCCACACTGTTTGACCTTTTCATCATCTCGGATGAAAGACGATCAGATGATCAGACGAACTGGTAGAATTATTAAGCAAATAAATATTTAGTATTTAGGGAAGAATTTATATTAACGATAATCTTATGTCACAAAACTAAGTCAACGCGACGTTGTTTAGTTAGTGCATTAGCAAATAAACTTGCAAATTAGCAAATAACCAAACAAGAAATATTAGCTTAGCGTTGTTTATAAGAGCAATTAGTTAGAAATTTCCAACTTTAAATATTTCAAAAAACATAAATGTAAAGATATTTACGTATATAGATAATAATATATATATATATATATATATATATATATATATATATATATATATATATATATAATGTATGTATGATAACAGGAATTTTACTCTGCTGCATAAATTGTGAAAACGAGTTAACTTGAGCCAATTAACTAAATTTGATTTATTTAAATTATTTAACTTTGTTCGAGAAGCCGCTAGTCTCCAATAGGCCAATTAGAACCAAGCATCATCCGATATTCTAGAATAATAGGTAAATTATTGATTACTTTACCAGAAAATTCTGCTTTGTTATTTTAATGTGAGCCAGAAATTGTTAGCATACTTCTAAACAAATATTGGTTGTGTATTGATGTGTCGACAGTATTTTATATTTTAACGCATTTCTATAAAAATAGCATCCATTAATGGCTACTTTTTATAACATCTATAGTTAATATAGATTTAAATTTTCTATAAAAACTAAATAAAAAAAATCAATAGAGTCAATTTAAATTCTTAAAAAGTTCTTATTCTCTTATTGAAGAAATATTTTAAAATAAAAAACTTAAAAGAAGTTTTAATATAGTATTCTCAAAAGATTTTCTGTCTTAAGTTTTCGACTTAAAAATGTGAAAAAATATAGCAAAGAGCAAGAAATTTATGTCAGGAAATGTTTATCATACGCTACACAGTGAGCAGATTCTAAGACTACTACTACTGCTCTACTCATATACGAGCTGTGTTTAAGAATGTTCTATAATCCGACAAGCGAGAGCTGGCGGGTGAGCTGCGCGAAAATAGAAAAGGAATTATTCTAAGAGAGATAGGAGAGGTACTTAATCGCGATTATAGGTATATAGTATAGGTACTTAAACGGTTATACACGATGTGAACTCCTAGCCGACTGCAATAGAAATGAGCAATTCCTTTTACTTTTCAATTTGTTCTACGCGCAACCCGCCAGCTCTCGCTTGTCGGGTTATACAATATTTTGAAACTGTAATTTCTTTTGATTGAAAACATTTCAATATGAATGGATTAAATACAATAGCGATGCAAAAATGTTTGTATATTGCGGACCATCCATTTTGAAGATAATTTTTCGACTGTTCTAACAACCATTCAAATTTCGTAATTTTGTGTCATGTGGAACAATTTCACCCAATCATGTCAACATTAGACTGATAATTGCATTCAGTGCAATTTTCAATCCCTATGACAACACGATCGAGTTTGACAACTTCATTCAAATAAATTTCAAAATGTCAAAAAGATAACAAATCACTCGAATAGATCAACTGCTGTTAGCGAATTAGCAAAAAGTGGTGTAGAAGAACAAAAATTGCTAAAAATTACTGGTCATGGCAATCAGAATTCTATAAAACCATACTTGAATCTCGATCAAGAATACCACAACAAGATTAAAAATATTATGCATGGTAATAGATATTCTATAGTAGAGAACAGCAACGAATCTAATGTTAACTTAAATTTTAATAATTGTACTTTCACTAACTGTACTTTTAATAAATAAATGTTTCGTTATGTTGAGTTATGATTTTTTTTCGAAAAATATCCGCCGAATATCCCTCGGACATTGATGAATGCCTCATAATTTCATGACAAATTTCTCAAGCTCGTTGCTTGGTAAGAGCACTCAGCCTTCGGCTTCGTGCTGTTACCAAGGAACGAGCTTTCGATTGTCATGAAATTATACCATCTGTTATCAATGTCCTAGGGATATTACTACTGATAATTATGCCTTTCCAGACTTTTGGTCCATTCTGTATAATCCCTCTTTCTGAAAACCTTTGGCTCTTTTGGGGCATCTTTAGGGGCATTTTGTGAAATTTAGCCTATCCAACAATCCACTGAAAATGTCATAAACATAAAATTGTACATTAATACTACACGACACAAGGAAAAACAGTTTAATTTTTTTTTTTAAAACGGTGAAGGTACATATTGGTTTGCATCAGGAGAGAGAAAACATTCTCTGTAGCGTTGCCGTTTTTAAAAAATTTTAAACTGTTTGTCCTTGTGTCGTGTAATGTTATTGTACAATTTTATGTTTATGACATTCTCGGTAGATTGTTATGTTGGATAAGCCAAATCTGACGAAATGCCCCTGAACATGCTCTAGGAAGCGAAAGTACTTGGGCAAGATTTAAAGTACTTGGGCGTACATCATCTGCCTTTCATTTGATGAAAGTACATTTATTCGAGCATTCAACCTTATATCACTATATAGAAAATATTATGATGACTTGTTTCGTATAGTGGACAAAATATAACCTATAATAATTATTTTATTAGCTTCACCACAGATGTCGTTATTATTTTATTTATGTGTTATAAAAGATATATCATATTGTAAAACTAATTTTATTAGTTTATTGGAATAATAAAGTTTTGTTAATGCATACATACACAGAGAATATTAGCAGTATAATATTTTATTGTTATTACAGTCCACATAATATGGTATATTATAACGAGCACAGTTTTAT